TCACAGATAACCTGGGGGCCACTGTGTGCTAGCCTGCAGCCCCGTCAGGGATGGCACAAAACATGTCAGCGTCTGATTTTGGCTTTGGTTGCATTGTGCATTTGGAGGAAATTGACGTCCTGGTTTACCCCTTAATCAGTTTTGTGTCCAAAGAAGCAGGTGCTCACCAAACCATCTGCGAGATTTATGAGATAAGTGGTAGATTTTTTTTTCCTATCAAAGTCTAATTTTAAAAAAATGCCCCCTCCCTTATTTCCTAGGTATGAGGAAGCATGGCATTTTAGTCTTCCAAAGGGGCTGGGACATGCCAAGAATTTGGAGATTTGAGAGGGGAGCAGAGCCTTGCTGAGGGCAAGGTAATTCTGTAATCCTGTGGCCAGCCAGCTGTGTCAGCACCCCGCATGAGGAGGTGGCCAGCTGTCTCTTCATTTAAGGAAAAGAAACTGAGGCAAGCCCAGCCTTTCGATTTAGATGCAGTGAGACCCTTCCAGATCTGCTGGTGGAGAGGGAGTCAGAGGCTACTGATTCTGCATTGGGGTTACTTGCTTTCTCCTCATGTCTTTCCCTTCCTTCCTTTCTTCCTTTTTTTATTTCTTTGTTGCTGTTTGTGTTATTTTTGTATATGGAGGAATGAGTCAGGACCCATGGTGTCCACAGAGTCTTAATGAATAACTTTGGTCAGAAGTGGCTGGAAAGAATGTAGAACTGACCAAAGTGGGTGGTTGGATTCTCATCCCAAATTCCAGGATTCTGGGTGCTCCCTAGTCCTATGAGTACTGGGAGCACAGTAGCACAGTACCACCTATGATTATTGCCCTCAAGATTGGATTCCTGCTATAGCTCATTGAATAGGGGAGATATTAAGGGTGATATAAAAGGGGTCAAAATTGTCCCTAGGAGATAATTTTAATAGAATCCTTTAACCCAAGTTTTGAAGAAAAACAAAAGCAAAAAAAAAATAAAGGTCATTGGAGATACTAGAGCCAGGCCTGCCATCTCCTCCTTTACTCCCCATCCCTGAAAAGGAGCTAAAAAAGCAATCCGTCCTCCAGGTGTCTAGGCAGGTGTCCCAGCAACCTCAGAGGGTGTTCCTGACGCAAGAGAGAGATGAGCCTCAGTGAATAGTTGCAAGAAGTTTGATTTAGGAGGAAGGAGGCTTAGATTTAGATCTAGGACTGCTGCTGACTTAGAGGGTGGTGGAGTCTAATCAGAGACTAAGCCTCTTTGTGCTTTAGTCTTCCTTATCAGTCTTTCAGAGCTGACAGGAGCGTAAAAGATTATACAGCACACCAAAGTGCTTTGTGCAGATGGGGCGAAACTCGAGAGTACCATATAAACACGAGATAGTACATAAGGGTCTCAGGTGGAAAAAAATCTACAGGGGATTTTTCTTTTTGCAGGGACTTCAGCTGAAGTGATGGGAGAGGTGGCCCCAAGAAATCTTTCTCCCCATCACTTAATTCTCAGGCCTGGAGTCGTAATCCTCTTCCCTCAAAACAGCCATGCAACAGCCTTTAAGATTATGACATCCTGGCCTTTATGCCAGTCGCTTGCTCATCTGCTTCCCATATGCCTCGTTGATTATCTGTCATGTAATTTTCTAAATCTACTTTCCAGAGTACCTGCCTCATCACTGGACTCAAACAGGCAGTTTTGGAGGCCCACAGGACAGCATTTTGGTGTCTGAGCTGCTGATATGGGTCAGAAGCTCCCAGAAATATCTGGATGGCCACTTTTCGATAGGAAGATGGGTGTTTGAAATGCCCATATAGGAGATAAAGTTGGGGTTTGAACCCAGCATGCCTGTCACTAACTTACTAGGGGACAAGATCACAGGAAGGGTAAAAGAGGTTGAGCCCTTGGAGGGAGGAAAACAGACAAGCAGCTATGGGATCTTCCCTCCATGTGAGTGGGTTCAGTATGGTTGCTTAAAGGAAGCCCAGAAGCCATGGTATAATTCGTTCACTTTTCTAGTGAGGGTTTTTCAATTTTACTTAAATACTCAGGTGCCTGTTGGTTGTTAGCCTGGTGCTTTAGGCAGTGTGGGGTATACAAAGAGAAATCAGGGCCAGTCCCTGGCCTCAGGCTGTTTGTTATCTAGGAGTTACAGAACCCATTTCCCACAGAAAGGGTGTTAGGGGTAAGAAATATTGGGGAAACTCGGAAAATTCTGAGACATTCCTTCCAGGGGATTCTAGGGATACAGAAAGCTTGGTGAAGTGGAGGCAGTAAGGCTGGCCTTGACAGATGGGACAGATTTCAACCCCAGGCATATGTGTAAAACCTCAGAGGAGGGCAGTCCTAGGACGTGGGTGGGAAATGATGCATGGTGTGGTTTGTCCAAGATCTAGAGACCTTGAGGAGAGTGAGGTGTAAAGGAAAGGTAAGTGGGCCCAGAACCTGAAGGCTTTGATTCCCACCTTCGAAAGATGGTTTGAAGAGGTTTAACCTAGAAATGTTAAGATCATTTAAAATGATCTGTTGTAGGTCAATATATATTGATTTGGAAAGATGTTTATGATATAAGGTGAAACATATAGCAAAACAATATGTGCAGTATGATCCCATTTTTAATTTTAAAGTGCATATACATATATAGAAGGTAAGGCCTGCAAGAATATATATCCTATAGTATATTAATAGTCATCTGTGGACATTGAGAGTTGAGGGTTTTTTTCTTTTTGTTTATATGTTTCCTGACTTTTCTATAGATATAATTTGTACTTACTATTAACTACAAATCATTTTTCACTTGTTTTAAATGAGCATACATTATGTGATGGCTGACAGCGATGACCTAGAAATATGCTGGGGATTAGATAAAAACAGAGTAAAAGTTGGTCATGCAATAATATTTGTGATATCCAAATTGGAGAGGAATCCTTCAAGTGTCCAATAATGTGGGAATGGCTAAGCTCACTATTGTGCTAGTGGAATATCATACAGTCTTCTAAAATGACAAATATGTAGATTGTTGATACTTGGAAATGGGTATATGAAATGGGTAGAACCAGGCAGAACATAATGTACATTTCACATTGGTTACAACTATGTCAAAATGTATGTAAATATTCAAATAAATTTGGAGAATGAAGATAGCATTTTTAGTCTCTTTTTATTGTCGTAAAATACAAATAAATAATGTAAATTTTACCATTTTAAACATTTTTTTTTTATTTTGATTTATTTTTTGAGACAGAGTCTTACTCTGTTGCCCAGGTTAGGGTGCCATGGCATCATCCTAGCTCACAGCAACCTCAAATTCCTGGGCTCAAGCCTCCCGAGTACCTGGAACTACAGGCATGTGCCACCATGCCCGGTTTATTTTTTCTATATATTTTTAGTTGGCCAATTAATTTCTTCCTATTTATAGTAGAGAGGATGTCCCGCTCTTGCTCAGGCTGGTTTCAAACTCCTGACCTTGAGCGATCCGCCCCGCCTCGGCCTTCCTGAGTGCTAGGATTACTGGCGTGAGCCACCGCGCCCGGCCTCATTTTAAACATTTTAAGTTTATGTTCAGTGGTATTAAGTACATTCACAATGTCGTGCAACTGTAATCACTATCCATTTCCAGAACTTTTTCATCATCTGAAATAGAAACTCTGTATCCATTAAACAACTCCCATTTCCCCCTCCTCCTAAGCCTCTGGTAACCTGTATTCTATTTTTTGTCCCTATGAATTTGCCTGTTCTAGGTACCTCATATAAGTGGAATCACACAGTATTTGTCCTTTTGTGTCTGGGTTATTTCACTTAGCATCACCTGTATTGGAGCATGTGTCAGAATTCCCTTCCTTTTTAAGACTGAATGCTATTCCATCATATGGATACACCACATTTTGTTTATCTTCATCTCCTTGGGTGCTTGGGTTGCCTCCACCTTTTGGGTATTGCAAATGATGCTGCTATGAACGTGGGTGCACAAATGATCTGTCTCAGTCCCTGCTTTCAGTGCTTTGGGGGCATATACCTAAAGGTGGAATTGCTGGGTCATATGGTAATTCTATGTTCAACTTTTTGAGGAACTGCCAACCTTTAGTGTCTTTTTAATATAAAGTTCTTCAAGTTTATTTATACATACAGTCCCCAGTTCTTTTTGCTGTGCTTAATATCCACATGAATTACTAAGGGATTACTGCAGATGTGAAAGCATTTCGTTCTGTTTAAAGGAAAGAACCTTTATACTCTTAAGGTGGTTTGAGTGCTTTGAATGTGGCTGTGGAAAACGGGGTCAACTAAGATGATTGAAACTTCCAGATGATTCTAGAACCCTTATAATATTTTATCAACAGTTTCAACTTTTACCTTCTCCCAGAAAGCTTTAACCAGGGTAAAAATAAAATGAATTGATTTATAATTGCTTTTTTAAATTTTGGTCCCATTTAGATAGAAGTCAGAGGTAGAGAACTAAAAGACTTGGGTATTTTCTTAACCTGGATTTCTCAATCCTGGATAGTTGAAAGTAGTTACAGTAAATCGTTCTCTTGTTTCAGTCACCTAGGTTCCCTGGTCACTAACCAGCCCTGAAGGAAGTACGAAGAGGCCTTCAGTTAATGGGTTGAATTTGTGCAGTGCCTAGGAGCCCTGCAGTCGTGCTGGAGGGAGGGAGGAAGAGGGGCAGGAGATAAAAGATGGAAGAAAGCGTGGTTTTTGTCCCCTTAGAGCGCCCTCTTTAATGCTGGGAAACTCAGTGTGGAAACCTAGGAGTTCACAGTTCATAGTCCATTAGGAACAGGAAAAGGATAGAGGACATTTATAAAGTAATCCCTAAGTCCAAAGTAGAATGGTATAAATTGTTTCCCGGGATAAAGGCTAACTGGTTAAGTCAGGAAAGCTCTTGTCAGACCTATTGTGCTTTTGCAGGCAACTCCAAATTCTTTTAGGAGGGAGATGGGTCTGAGTGAAGACATGGCAGTTAGGCTCCCTAGAAAAGAGAAGACTGGGTCCCGTCTCCTTCCTCCATGCTGATATCAGGGTGTTCGGGCTGTGCTCTCTTCCAGCCAGTGTCCCGTGTTCTGTGGCCCCAGAAAAGCCAGTGTGTAGGCCTCAGCCACCCCAGGTCCGACGTACGTTCTCCCTGGACACCATCCTCAGCTCTTACCTTCTGGGCCAGTGGCCACGAGATGCTGATGGGGCCTTCACCTGCTGTACCAATGACAAGGCCACTCAGGTAATGGAGCTCTTTCCTAGCGGGATAAGGGATAAGTAAGGGTGGGGTGAAAGGGTTGGCTGAAAGGGCGTCTGGTCTAGTTAACTCTGAATCATTGCAACGATTTGTCCTGGGTTTTGGGGTACACATATCCACCATGCAGCGTTTCATCTTCTAATGTTTGCCAGCTTGTTTTTCTTGGTAAACTTATAGGAAAACAAGTTTGCATTTCTCCCAACTAGTGAAAGAGAGGAGTCAATCTGGGTCTTTCAGTCTGGCTTTGAGTGTGGTGTGTGGGTAATCAGAAACTGACTTTGGAATTTATTCTAGGTTTTAAAAAATGAGACTTACCTTGCTAAAATTAAACCAAGGCCAACATTCAAATGAGTTTGTGTTCCCTAGACAACTGCAATAAGTGGCCAAAAAGTGTGCTGAGCCAGGATAGGTACCATTGGAGCCATAGGAATGGAGAGTCTTCAGTAATGGAGAGTAATTCCTTGCCAGCAGCCCAGCCTGGGATTTCAGAGAACTCATTCAAGTACTGGGGAACCTAAGTTCTTCTTCAGTATTTTTTGTTTGTTTATGGGGTTTTTGTTTTTGTTTTTGAGACAGGGTCTCACTCTGTTGCCTGGGCTAGAGTGCAGTGGCATCATCATAGCTCATTGCAACCTCAAACTCCTGGGCTCAAGTAATCCTCCTGCCTCAGCTTCCCAAGTAGCTGGGACTACAGGAGTATGCCACCATGCCTGGTTAATTTTTCTGTTTTTAGTAGAGATGGAGTCTTGCTCTTGTTCAGGCTAGTCTCGAACTCCTGAGCTCAAACAATCCTCCCACCTCAGCATCCCAGAGTGCTAGGATTACAGGCATGAGCCACGATGCCTGGCCTCCAATATTTGTCTTTAGGTCTGTCTTTTCATTAAAGAATATCAGGGTTGAAGTCTCTGTGGATTATCCAGTCTGCTGCTTGTCAATTTTTGGATAAGAATAGTGTTAGCCTGGGGAGAAAGTTATCTCAAATGTGAAATTTTTGTTTTGTTTAGAGACAATGTCTCACTATGTTGCCCAGGTTGGGCTGCAGGCTGCAGATCACAGCTCACTGCAACCTTGCACTCCTGGACCTAAGCAACTTCTTACCTCAGGCTCCCAAATATCTAGAACTACAGGCGTGCCACCATGCCCAGCTAGTTTTTTTAATTTTTTGTAGGGATGAGGTCTCACAATGTTGTCCAAGCTGATCCTGAACTCCTGGACTCAAGTGATCCTCCCGCCTCGGCCTCCCAAAGAACTGGGTTTATAGGCATGAGCTACTGCATTTGGCCCCTCATATGTGAAATTATATAAAGATATTTCTTAATCTGATTCAGGACTTCAGCATTCATAGTAGTTAAGTTGATAAGAGTCAAATCTCCCTTTTAATGTAGTTTAAGCTCATTCATTCTTGTTAAACTTCAAAGCAATTGAGCTGTGCCTAGATAAGTGGAAATAGGGTGGAAAGGATGCTGGGCTCAGTCAGCAGCCCTTCTTCACCTCTGTGATGTCGGGCAAGTCAGCTTTTCCTTTGCAAACTGGGTGGAGTGTGCCCGCTTTACCTACTTTGTTGGTGGCATTATGGCCAAATGACACGTGAAAGTGCTTGGTACAGCTCAGTTCACCTCCTCTTTTGAGCACATCATGTTGATTTCTTTCATTTTTTTTTTTTGTGTGTGTGAGATCCATTTTCAAATGTTGTTAGTGAATGTTTGAATGCCCAGTACTGTTCTTGGCATGTTGGAATGAAGAATAAGGAAATGAGGACAAGATTTGGCCTCTGCAATTCTGGATTGCAGTTCTGTGAAGCCCAGTGAACAGACAGCCAAGGGATGAGATGGGGCCAAATGTCTGGCAAAGTTTAGAGGAGGGGAATTCTCATGGGAATACCCCACCTTGAACCAACAGGAATTTGCTGCAGTTAAAATGATGGCGCTCTTTAGATCTATGAATAATAGCACGTGAAGGGAGAATACACTCCAGGTAGCAAACAGAGCAGGCCTAGTTCCTGGGAGCCTCAGGCATTGTTGTTATTTGGGAGAAGCAAATAGGATAAATTATGCTTCCTCCTCACAGGCCTGGGAGCACACACCCCATTCTCTTTTGAAGAGAGTGCTCAGTTCAAATAATGTATCTAGTCAAGGAGGACTTCCTGGAGGAGCAGGACTTGAGGTTGCTTTGAGCATGTAAGCTCATGGTTGCATCCGCTTTTGTCAGTCCATCTAGCTCCGTCTCTGTCATTTCCTGCTATCAGCCTTCTAGGAAGTCACCATCCCACTCCTCAGATAGCTTTCTCTTTGTCAACTCAAGGCGGGGTTGGCCTCAGATGTTCCCTGGCTGGGTTTAGAGGCATGGGCTCTAGGCTGTGTGTTTGTGCTGAAGCCCCAGCTGCAGGCCAGATCTTTTATATAACAAGTCTGGGCTTCTTGCCACAGCAAGACAGAGGTCAGTGATGCGCCTCTGTGGGTCTGGCAAGGCCAGGCCATACAGCTTTCCTCTTTCCCTGGGATGGGCTCCAGCCCTCGAGGAACTCTTAGCAACCTGTCAATATTATGGCTGCAGTCAGGAGGTGGGAGAATTCTGACCTACGTAGGCATCCAAACCAAAATATGCGCTCTGCACATCTTTCATTCCCGGTCCTCTGGGAATTTTCTGCTTCTAGGTTTTGGGCTCTATTCAAATTCCTGCTTGAGCCCCCGGCCTGGCACAAGCTAGCGTCTTCAACACTGGCATTGCACTGTAAGGGCCTGGGGCTCTCCTGACATCTCCCTAAGTGACTGGTGTTCCTTCCTACTGAGCACTGGGATATCACTCAGAAAGGCCTGGAGGTGAAGGCGAGGTTTTCCTGGGGAGATACGAGGGCTTGTGGAGAAGGGGAGAGGGAAGGGAAGGTGGCAGGATCTACCAAAGTCCTTGGGAGCTTTTAAGCTGTTAAAAATTGACTGATGCCAGGATCCTTCCCTAGCGGCTTTGAGCCTGAGGAGGGCTCTTCACCTCTCTCCTCACCTGTGCCCTCCTTCTCTAGCCACACTAGTGTAGTCACTTATTTTCTGCTGCAGGCACTCATGACTGGCTGCTCTCTTATCAGCCTAACCTCCAGCCCACCCAGAGCCAGCAGTCAGATTATGTGTTTGGGGCCCTCGCCAGCCCTGGCATTCCCAGGCATTTCTTGCAGTGAGGTCAGCAGCCAGTTGAGGCTAAGCAGCTCCTTCCTCTGAACCCCCAAGAGGAGGCCAGGGCCCTGCCCTTCCAAACCAGCTTCAGACCTGGGCAGCAGGCACAGAACGCTGCCGTTTAGATAGCCAGGCATGCTGTGGACTTGAGGCTTATTTATAGGGCAGAAGATGGAGCTAAAATCTCTCAGTTCTTGAATATATTCCAATATTGCCAACAATCCCGGTATTTCCTTCCTGGTTGAGTTTTAAGCCATTAGGCAGGTACAAAGGATAGTCTTGGCAATTTACAGTCTGCTATGAAGAGCTGGGTTACCAAATATTTGGGGCAAGGGAAGAAGAAAGGTGTGGATGGATCTTATTTGGGAAATTTGTTGTTTTAGGAAGGATGAGAAAGTGTGAATGTGGTAACTGGGCAAGAAGTGCTTTGGAGATACTGCATGTTTTGAGCCAGGAGGAGCAAGAGGAGAGAGAGTGACCAGGTCAGTTGGTAAACCAGAGCTAGCCACCACCTGCTGTGGGCTGGCCCCTCCTAGTGGCTGGGTCCAGGCCAGGGTGGGTGATGACAGCACATGCCAGTGTCCGTGGTCACCTCTCTCCATTCTTGCTGTGCAAAGCCTTTGAATCTTCCTGTACTTTTCTGGAGAGAGAAAGTGGTCTCACTGCAGCTGGATTGACTGTTTGGGCAAAGTCCCCCTCCTTGTCTCATCCTGCCTACAGATGGGACCCTGGGTACCTGGCCTGCCCAGCCCAGCTGCCTGTTCTGCTCAGCCCAGCCCCGTTTCCTCTGCATTCTGCAGGTCAGGTGGGGAAGCTGCCACCATATAATTTTTCTTTTTTTAGCCTTGATTTACCCCTTGGGAAAAAAATAGCTTAAGTTCTTACAAACCACATGCAATGTCATGAAGGCCAAAGGCAAAGGTGAGCATACTTGTTGGTGGACTTCCCTTTCTGTGTCTTTTCTCTCCCTGTGTCACGCTGTCCTCCCCCACACGGTTTAGTCTGACGATCACAGGCCTTTAAAAAATGTTTTTCTTTGTGGGTGTAGGGGCCTGGGCACAACGCCTACTTTCCAAACTGGCAATCAGGACCAGTTGTTGGCATATGGTTTGACAACTGTACCAAATATTTGAAAATGGAGCCATGATGGAAAATCTGAGGGTTGCATAGTCACCATCAGGCCAGAGGTGGTGGCCTTGGCCACCTGCAGCCAGAGTTCACAGGACTGGTCTGTGGACCCCCTCAGAGCCTTTTCCTGCCTTTTTGTTTGGCCAGAGTCCTAAGGGACTGGTTCCCTGCTGATTTCAGTTGAACACATAGTTACTGGCCATCCTCACCAGGCCAACACCATGCCACTCTACACTCTCGCTCAGGTGCAGCGGGTTTTGTTCCCAGGGCCGGCCCAGCTCTGCACGTGGAGCTTACTTAGGTGTCAAGGTCACTGGGGACAGCGAGGGCCAGGACTCTTCCTGCCTGTGGTCATGGAGTGCAGGTAGAAACTTAGTTCAGCTGGGGGCCAAGAAAGAGACTCCGGTGGGGGTGGTTGTCACCTCCATCTTGCTCCTCCTCCTTAGTATATAGTAGGTGGTTCTGTGGGAGGCTGTCCTCTGCCCTATGCCCAGTTGTCCTTCCACATGTTGCTTGGGGATCTCAATCCCAGGCCAGGCTTCCTGGGTCTAGCCACGTCCAGTTTTGCATAATCCAGGCATCAGCTGCACAGCTGGCTGATAACACTTGTAGTTAGCAAGCAGCCCTGCTTGTCCCTCAGCTGCCCCCCAGGCCAGGGTGTCAACTAAGCCTGTTCCAGCGCATGCGTACCCTGGGCAAACATGGCCTTTTGGCTGCTGAACTCAAGCTTTAACCCACTTCCAAAGGGTCATCTAGAATGAATATTCACAGTGCTGCCACGCAACATAGCTTGACCCCTGTTGTGGCCAAAAGGTTAGTAGTTCTTAGAAGGGTGGCCTTCCTTACTGTGACTTTTCTGTGCTCTGAGACCTCAGTCTGGACCCCTGGTCAGACCCAGAAGAGGAAGGTCCTGTCCACCCAAGGGCACAGGGAATAGGGGGCATAGTCCCCACTCTTGATGCTCCCAGTCCAGTGGGAGGGGCTAAAGCCCACACCCGCATACACTGCTGCCTTAAGAACACTCAATGCCAGCATGCAAACTGCTTCAAGCACAGGATAACCTACCGTATTAGGTTTCTGAGGCTGCTTTAATAAATTACCTCAAACTTAGTGGCTTAAAGCAACAGAAATTTATTTTTTCACAGTTCTAGAGACAAGAAGTTCATGTTCAGTTTTGCTGGCTGAGATCAAGGTGTTGGCCGGGTCTTGCTCTCTCAGGAGGCTCTTGGGGAGATTCCATTCCTTGCATCTTCTGGTGGCTTCTGGCATTCCTTGGCTTGTAGCCACATCGCTCCAATCTCCGCCTCTGTGGTTATGTTGCCTTATCTTCTGTGTGTGTCCAATATCCCTCTGCCTCTCTCACATAAGGACATTTGTAATGGCATGGAGGGTGCACCTAGATAATCCAGGATAATCCTCCCATTTAAAGGTCCTTAACTTAATCATATCAGCAAAAACTTTACCAAATAAGGTAACATATATAGGTTCCTAATATCTTTGGGGGGCTATTTTTTAACCTGTCACACTTACCTTACCTCCTGCTACTCTGTTCCAGCCACGCTGGCCTCATCAATCTCTAATATGCCAAGCTCACTCCTGCCTTAGGGCCTTTGCACTTGTCATTCCCTCTGTCTGGGTATCCACATGACTCACACACTGCCCCTCCCTCATGTTGTTATTCAGGTGTTACTTTTTCACTAGGGACTTCCCTGACATTTCAAATCATGTCCTCCCTGCCTGGCATTCCTATCCCCTTTCTTTGCTGTATTTTTTTTTCTTAACACTTATCACTGTTTAAACTGTCTCCCCAGTTAGAACATGAACTCAGAGGTGACAAGGGGTTTTTGTTGTTTTGTGCACTGTTGCGTCCCCAGCACCCAGCACATGGTATGCATTCAGTAACTATTTGTGGAATGCATGAATGATGTACACCCGGAGAGCAGGCTTAGAGGTCAGGGATAAAGTAAGAAAAAGTAGATGGGGACGGGTGTGACTGAGTAGGACAGAGAGCCAAGTCTGGAGAGCTGATGGCATAAATGATCACATGGTGATCTCTATGACCAGGGGGTGGGTGTTGAGATCAAGTGATGGCCCTGGTAGCACAGTTCACATGGAGCAGGCAATACTTGGTAGAAGATGTTGCTGAGCAGAGAGACGTGGGGTAAAATGGGATTGAGAGAGATCATCCTAGCCACCATGATTTCCACCACCTTCCTAAACTCCTGTACCAGCCTACGCATCTCCTTCTACCCCTCACGTATCCCAGAAGAAAGAAGGGACTTGAGTTTGCACGAGATCGTAGTAGAAGCGGTGGCAGCCTGGGTGTGGCTGCTTTTCCCTCCTTCTCCCTGCCCACCTGTGAGCAGTGTCTTCCCGGAGGGAGGGAAGTGGGCATCATGATCACCTTAGCTGTAAACATCAGTCCTCCATAGCCTCTGCACCTTTCCAGGGACAGTGGGCTTGCACCGGGCTCCGAGCTTTGACTGGCAGAGCTAGCAATCTGCAGGGTTGGCTTTGGAGCCCGCAGAGAGGAGGACCGTTTTTGTGTCCACTGGGTCGGTCGAGGAGAGATGGACTCCCTCCTCACTTTCCAGTACCTGAGGCAGCCTTTCCTGAGGCTCTGTGTGGTGACACCTGGCCTGGAGAACACAGACATTTGGGAGTAGAGCAGCTGCTTGGTTTCCGTATTCTGTCAGAGCCAGCTTCACCTTGAGGGCTCTGGGGTGCCTGGAGGATGTGCTGCCTGCCCTCTTCCTAAAGGAGGGGATGGTGGGGGAAGGGGATCTCTGGGTGCTCTCCCTTGTGCTGCTAGCATGAGGACAAGGCAGTCAGGGTGGTTGTCTCCCCCTGGCTGTGTCACACAGCCCAGTAAAGGTGCTGATCCCCGGGCAGCTGGGAGAAGGAAGAGCCAGGGAGCCCCAAGCCGCAGCGGCCCTTCTCCCCTGCAGCTGTCACACTGGGCTGTCTGCTCTCACAGCCCGCTCAGACTCCCCCGCTGGGCTCCTCTGAGCAGCTGTTGGGTGGTGAGTAGTTGGGTTTTTTCCCCTCTGTCCTCCCCCTTTTCTGTTTGCAGCAACCTCTCAGGGAGGTCAGCAGATCTCTTGGAGGAGACGGTTCCCAGGCCCTCATGTTTTTGGCAGCCTGCGCACAGAAGTTAGACAGGAACTGGTTCTACTGGAGCATTCCCCCTTGGGCCCCTCCCTTGGAATGGAAATAGGGATACTGGTGGTGGGGAGGGAATGGGCCTCTTCAGCTTTATGCTCAGAGTCACAGCTTCCTCCCTTGGTTGGGGGCCCAGGAGGTAGTTTCACAACTCCCCAGCTTCCATCCTGGGCGCTGTCTTCCGTGCAGCCCGGGAAGAGGACGGCTGACAGAGCCCTGTTCTCACGAGGGGCAGGGCCGGCCCAGGAGAGGAGGAGTGGCAGGGCCAAGAGGGGTCAGAAATCTGGGCTGGGCTCAGATCTCTGGGCCCTCCTTTCTGAAAATGCCCCCTTCCTGCTTATTCAGGAATAAGCAGGGGGGCCTCCAGCACTTAACTCAGTGTGCAGGGAAAAAGCAAGAAACAAGCTTGAGGCATCACACTATAAGACCTCCTGCTTCGGTCAGGGAGATCTATGTTGACCTTTTTCCTGTTGTACCAATTAATGATTCCTTAATGCACTCTTGTCTATTAACTTGTTTTCATTGGGCTCCCGGGAGCCTGGGCCTGTGCTAGGCACAGAGGGTGAGAAAATAAAGAATGCCAGCGATTCCCTGGGCCTGTGCTATTTTGGAGCTCGTTGGGATATCGAGGGCAGTACTTGTCCCCACCACTGGGGAGCACCTGGAATAACTGGGGATATATTAGAGAATACATGTATAAAAGTCATAAAAGAGCAAAGGGAAGGTCAGCCCAATTGGATCACCAGGCCATGTTTGCTGGAGGATGCTGGAAGGAGGCAGTGCAGGTGGAGAAGCTCAAAAGAAGAAACAGGCTAGGAGCGTTCAGGAGATTGATGAGCAGATGAAAGAGAAGCCTTCAAAGGGCTACCACCTCTACCCAGGAACTGGGTTTCTGCTTGCCCAGCGCCTGCCCGAGAAGCTGCTCTGTCTCACTGTGTTTCTCTCCCGCAGACCCCCCTGTCCTGGCAAGAGCTAGAAGGTGAGCGGGCCAGCTCCTGCACACACAAGCGCTCAGCGTCCTGGGGCAGCACAGACCACCGAAAAGAGGTAGCTGCTCCCGTTCACTCCCTGGCTAGGGTAGCTGCCTCTTCTCTCTTCCCCAGCACCACGTGATATGTTTGCTCCAAAGTGAAATTACATTTCTAGCCTCACTTGCCTCGACCTATCCTTTTCCTGGTGAGCTGGCTCCTTCATAGTTGACTCCCAGCCTCCTGGTGGCCATGTCTTAGGGCCCCAGATCTTCCTGCTAAGGAGGGCTTGGCCAGCAACCGCTGGTGCCAGCAGCAAGCACAGGGCTGGAGCTGCCTTGTTCTCCCTCTACTTTGAGGTTGGATCCAGATAGGCAGTTCAGAGACTGGAGCAAGATGGGCAGTGAGTTCTTCTATTTCACTATTCATTCAGCCGCCTTCTTAAAAGAAGAGAAAAACAATTATGTGTTCCCAAACACTTTTTCCTGGCTCTCCCTCTCCCTCAGGAAGGCTAAAGTTGTTGAGGTTGAGCAGGGAGAGCCATAGGCTGGAATATTCCAGGGCTCCCAAATTAGCTGCTCCTAACATGCTGTGTCCTGAGAGGACCAGCTTGCCAAGACTCACCCTCAACCCTTTGCAAGAGGAAGTTGCTTCTGCCTCCTTGTTGCTGAGAGCAGTGAGAAAATAGGAAGTGAATGCACTGTGAGTTTAAGATGAGGGGGAAATAAAAAATATTTAAAGTTTTCAATAATCAGAGCACACAAGTTATTCACACTAAGGATGGGGGCTCGTGGTGTGAGTGACCCATAATAGCAAATCTAAACAGCACTTTCTTCTTGGCTATAGTTGTAAATCTTACGGGTAAGGGCAACAGAGCTACTCCCTGAATTCCATTTAATTTAGGCTCATATTTAAATCGCTCTGCATGCCCTAAGCACTTTCCAACCGAGGGCAAGGAGGTCCAGAATTACACATGTGATAGGGATGGATAATATTCAAAATCTTAATGATAATCTATAATTATTACAGGATATGGACATTAAGGTGAAATCTGATATTCTTTCTTGAGGGCCTAGTAGTGTAGTCTACTTTAAAATGGGGGAGAATATTTCCATCCTTCCTGGTCTCAGGGCCTTTGAGATAGTTGTGAACGTACTTTGAGGAGTGAACTGCCGTTGGCACTTAGAGACATCATCTTCCGTTGCTATTAATAGAGTTGTATCCCAGGCCTTTGGAATCTGTGAAAGACAAGATGGTTTCAGTGTTGCATATTTTTAATTTTTTGGAAACTGATCCATCTAGTTCGTAAGGTATCCAACTTGTCTGAGGAGCTTATCATCACGGTTTTTAACACCACCACGCTATTTTGGGATGGAAGATTAGCTCCCATCTTCCCTTTCCATATTTCGATGGGCCTCTAGCAGGAGCCACACCTGGGAGGAGGGACGCGGTGCACTTTTGCTTTGCTTCACCTCCCTCTCCTCCCCCTCTCTCCTGGCTCCTAGATCACCAAGTTGAAGCAACAACTGCAGAGGACAAAGTTGAGCCGCAGTGGGAAAGAGAAGGAGCGGGGCTCCCCTCTGCTGGGGGACCACGCCGTGCGGGGAGCACTGAGGGTATGTTTCCCTCCCACCCCCAGGGCCCTCCCCATTGTCTTCCTCCATGGCTGGCCCCTGTGTGGGCAGAGTCTTCCCGGGTCTCCCAGCTACTGAGCCCCCTACCACAATGCATAGTTTTGTGAAGCTTTAGTCTGAACTTGGACTTGCTGGGTGACATTGGAAGGGCTTCTTTGCTGTTCTAAATTTCTCTCACCTCTACCCCCACCACTGTACAATCGAGTCAATGACTCGAAAGCACATTCCAGACCTCACTAGGCTCTGACTTCCGGAGAAACGCCTCCTGAATGGACCTATTGCATGCTGTAACTGTCCCCAAACACTTTATTCATTTGGTTCTGTTGTGTAGACATGACCACTACCCCCCATCAGAACTGATGACTCGGTGGGGCCTTGTGTGATGGTGTCATTTGCCTCCTCCTCAGGCATCCCCTCCCAGCTTCCCCGCAGGGTCCCCCGTCCTGCGACTCAGCCCCTGCCTGCACAGGAGCCTGGAAGGGCTCAACCAGGAGCTGGAGGAGGTGTTTGTGAAGGAGCAGGGTGAAGAGGAGCTGCTGCGGGTGAGTGGCGGCTGCGCCCTGCGTGCAGCGAGTGTCTTGCTGAGCCTGGATGAGGGGAGCTGGGAATCCCACTCAGTGAGGCCTCATGGGCTGTGGCTATGTAAAAAGCAATATGCAAACACCAGCCTGCGAGAGCAACACGAACAGAGTTTATTAGTCTCAGACAGGCTTAGCCACAAGGCCAGCAGAGATGGGTGGGTGTCACTGGGGAAGTTTGTGAAAGAGAAGGAGCAAGGATTGGCAGAGAGGAGGGTCCCCAGCTGGGGAGGTCAGGCTAGGCACCATTCTTCAGCCAGACCGCTGATGCTCACTGTTCTCCACGTGCTCAGCACTGGAACCCCTCCCCCCCCCTCAGTTCCCGCCACCCCACTGCCTGTGTGACCATGTCCCTCCCTCCAGCACCACCTGGTGATATGCCTTCATTCTTCATGCCCAGTTGCCCTGCTCAGCCTTCTCCCCGCCGCACTCCCAGGCAGAATTATGTGCCACCTTTTCTGCAGTCTTGGGCACATTTTTATACTGACACAGTACCACTGGGAAATGCCAGTTGGGCAGTAGTAATATAATTATAATGGACACACCTCTTGGTTTATGATTTACCTATTGGTTGATTGTTAATGTGGATGCATAGAGGATTTTATATACACCCAAACACATGCATGCTATTTAGTGAACTGTGGGTACAAGTACCATTGAGCGTTTAAAAAAGGAGGGGTCAGGAGACATTTCATACCTGACAGTCATCCACATGCTGGTCCTGCAGTGGCTCACAGCGCTTAGGTTTGCCCCCATCGTGTCCCCTGCACATACTATTCATCTTTGTGTTCCCAGAGCCCAGCACACAGAAGGTCCCTGCCCTCGTGAGGCTTACACTGATCGCACCATACAGATGAATATGCAGTCAGATGTGGGACTACAAGTGTTGCTAGGAAAAAGAACAAAGTGCTACAGGGAGAAACAAGAGGGAGTTTCTCCTAGATTGAAGGTTGACCAGGGAAATAAATGACCTGAGAAAATGGTGCTCTGCTGTCATTGTGTGTTGCGGATAGAAGATGAGAACAACGGCAGGGAAAGGACCCTTTGGGTCACTGCAGTACTGCAGGCCTGGGAAGACTCGGGACTGAGAGTCTTGACCCCCCTTTTCCCATCAGATCCTTGAGGTCCCTGATGGGCACCGCGCTCCTGCTCCTCCGCACAGTGGCAGCTGTGATCATCCTCTCCTCCTCCTGGAGCCTGGCAACCTTGCCAGCTCTCCCTCCATGCCCCTGGCATCCCCCCAGCCTTGTGGCCGGGCCAGCCGTGAGGAACACCGGGGTGCCGTGGAGGAGCTGGCATCCACTCCTAACGACAAAGGTAAGCTGCGAGGCCCCGGCAGCAGGGCTGACTCTGGGCTACGGGGGGTTCCACTCCCTTTTCTGCCTCTACTCAATTTCAGGCTCAGCATTATCACTCACTAAACTGACTGTATGAGTCATCTTTATTCCATAGGTTATACCAATAATACATCACATTCTGATTTGGAGTTTATAAAGTCTCCGCACCTATACTTTCCTTTCATCCTCACTGGAATCCAGAGAAGCAATCCCTCCCATCCCCATGTTTTGGCTGAAGTTCAGCAAGCTGTAGGGGACAGTCAGAGAGTCTCTGCTCAGGTGCCCACTCTACTCATTACCAGCAATAGGTTTCAAGCGGGCTGTGAGTGATATCAAATAAGAGAGCGTGGTCTCTTGCCCAGGGTCCCACAGTTTGACCAGACCCAAACCCCATCTTTTGGACTCCCAATCTCCACTTTCTCCTGTGCTCTGGCTGTTTCGTGGAGGGTGAGATGCGACTCCTGCCTCCTAATATGACCCTTATGTTACAAAGCACCGTTGCCTGCATCGCTGACTTGGTTTTCACAGCAACCCCATGGGGTAGGCTGGTCGAGGGCATGACCCAACAATACACATAGGTAAACAGAGCATAGGGTAAGAAGGGATAAATGTGAGATAAATTCAGAGAAAGTCAATATTTGCAACCTAGGCAAAGTACATTCACTGTGTGGAAAGCGAGAGGAATTTTATCCTACAAGTAGGGTTAAGTAAGGACTGCTTCTCTGAGTCGGAGAGGAGCTCCTCCTGGAAACAGGGACAGATTTTCGAGGCTGTGGATGGGAGGAAGCCATGGTGTGTTGGCAGGCAGGGGCTTGCAGCCTCGGAAGAAGGCAAAGAGAAACAGCAGTTGGGATTCCTTTAAGTCTGAGATTTGGAGTTCCAGTCCCACTCCTCCTGGGAACATAGACTTGATATGAGACCTCACTTTCCCATCAGTTTGTTTTTTTTTCTGTTCTGTTCTAAGCTTTGTATTTTTGTAAGCTGCCTCAAAGATTTTATAAGGTGGAGTTCAGACAAACAGACTGGAGTAGCATAACTTCTGCCACCTCCCTTACCGTGTGTCACTCAGCCTTGCCCCTTTCTACCCAAAGCCTGAGCCAAGGAAAGGGGAGGCCTTTCCTTCGTCTCCCCCAGACTCAGCCTTGCTCTGTTTGCAGCCTCCTCTCCAGGCCACCCGGCCTTCCTTGAAGATGGCAGCCCATCGCCAGTCCTTGCCTTTGCCGCCTCCCCCCGGCCTAATCACAGCTATGTCTTCAAACGGGAGCCCCCGGAAGGCTGTGAGAGAGTGCGTGTGTTTGAAGAGGCCACGTGAGTACATCAGGAGGACGGGGCGTGGGTGGGAGGGACGAGGGTGGAGGGTGAGCCCCACATTACCCCACCTGCCCGGCCCTTCTTCAGTCTTGGACTCTTGTCATCACAGAGGTGTTGTCAACTCTAGATTATCAGTATTGCGGTTTTTCCTTGATCAAACTTGTTGACATTACCTACTCTGAGCACTTAAATCTTTGCTTATCATTATCTCCATAGAAACCTGCTCTCTGCCCACATGCCAGCCACAAGCACAGCAGGAGCTGGAAAGGAAAGATATCTGAAACCTAAGCCCTTCGTTTCTTCTATTTTTTTTCCATCCCCAGGGAAGGTGTGAGAATTTGCTAGACCATAATCAGAGAGGGAGCGAGACATGTGGGGGGAAGGGGAGAACACACTAGGAGTTCTCGTCAGTCAGAGATTACAAGCCTTTCATCCCGCCAGAGTAGAATGAGGACCCCAAACAGCTTTCCAGTTGCTTCCAAGTCAAGTCTTCATCCTGTGGCTGCAGTGGTTCAAGTGTCTTGAACTCCCAAACAGAAATTTCTAGTGCTTGCAAGTAAGGACTAGAATATTCCCAATGATAATTATGCTGATTATCAGATTGGATAATCCAGAAGCCCTTCTTCTGTTGATTTCTTTACAATTCCCTCCCATTGGCAGAGAGACCTTTCCAGATGTGCACACTGTCCCACTGAGCAGGCACCAACGAGCCCATTTCATTTCTCCCGGCCAGCTTAATATTTGCCGGGGCAGATTCACACTGGAAGCTGTGGTTTCAGTGGCAGTCAGGAAGTTTAGTCATGGTGTGTGAGTGAAGATTTAGCTGGGACTGGGTTTCAGGCATTGAGAGCACCATTTGCATCTCCAATAAGGGAGAGGACACCCTATTGTGGTAGCCAAAGGTACACATATAACCCATAGTAGGTGTTATGGAGAAAACCATTGCCACTAGGGCTTTTGTTACTGTTATCACTGTTGCCTGGTGTCCCTCCAAGACACCTAGGTCCTCTGAGGAGCTGTGGAGGGAAGAGGCCAGATATTGTCACTTAAGCAGACTCTAGGCTCTTGTGCCCTCTCTCAATCCATGTTATAGTTGAGTAACTACAGCTTGGAAAGGCTGGTGGAAACTAGGCTGTGGTTTGTCTTGCTTCTTCCATAAACCCATAATGCCAGAAAAAGTTTTTGTGTTTGTTTGTTTTTGAGACAGAGTCTTACTCTGTTGCCCAGGCTAGAGTGAGTGCTGTGGCATCAGCCTAGCTCACAGCAACCTCAAACTCCTGGGTTCAAGCAATCCTCCTGCCTCAGCCTCCCAAGTAGCTGGAACTACAGGCATGCGCCTCCATGCCCAGCTAATTTTTTTCTATGTATTTTTAGTTATTCTGCTATTTTTTTTTCCTATTTTTAATAGAGACGGGGGTCTCACTCTTGCTCAGGCTGGTCTCGAACTCCTGACCTCGAGTGATCCTCCCGCCTCGGCCTCCCAGAGTGCTAGGATTATAGGTGCCTGGCCCCAGAAGAGGTCTTAATGGCATCTCATCTTGCCTCCTGCCTCTGCGTTAACCTTTGAAGAGAGGTGACAATCCATCATTATTTTCTAAGATATCCTGGGATTGAAATTCTACAGCTTATTGGGGTCTCTTCATTTTATCAACTTTCCTATTGGGAAGTTATTGTGTTTAGCCCTTCTTTTGCCACATTTTCCTCTTCCTAGCTGTTGTCCCCTCAAAAGTAGCCTGGATTTTCCAGGCAGGGAATCAAGCTGTTTGGGGTCCTGCTAGTTAAGTTGCCTTTATGTTAGATGTTGCTTGGTTTCCTTTTGGTTACCTTCCTCACATGTACAAGCACACACCCAGAACATTCCTTCTCCAGCCATTCCCCAGCCCTGGCCCCCATAAAGTGGGATTCTTTTAAACCCTTCTCCGTTAAGGGCAAGGCTCCACCTTGCCACTGTGGAGCCTCAGGCCTTCCCAAACACGCGCAGCATATGGACCTGTGACTTCCCTCCCCCGATTTTTACTCTGGGCCAGATCTCTGCTCTTCTTCCTGGGCCTTGGAATTATTAGAATTCTAGAATTAAAATGGCAACCAATTGTGTCAGTCTGCACATTAAGTGTATTTTTCTGAGTATATATATTATACTTTAATAAAAAGGAAAAAAGAAAAAGGTGATTGATGGGAACCACTAATGACAGAGCTTCATCACTCCCCACATCTTTGTTTTCTTACCTAGAATCTTAAAACCATGAGGTTCTCTGAACACCGCCAGACACTCTACTTTTTTTATCATAAGGATTCCTTACCTAGAGACCCTATGACCTAACCTCCTTTTATCCTTCCACTTTTCCTAAATGATCAGAAGAGAAGGGATGATTCTTCCCACATTAAAAGTGAGACAGATATGGCCAAGGCCACATGGTGAATTAGAACCTGGATCTTTTGATAGACTGCCTTTCTCACAGTGGTGCTATTCTTCCCCTCCCCCGGCCAAAGTTTTGAAAATCATGCTTTTCAAATGTGCTTAAGAGTTAGATTCTTTAGGTCCACAGACTTCAACAGGGGACATTTTTTCCACAAGGGAATATTTAGCAATATCAAGAGACATTTTTTAGTTGCTCTATTGCTTAGAGGCCAGAGATACTGTTAAATGATGCACAGGAAAGCACCCCCATCCCTACCCTGCAACAAAGAATTATCTAGCTCAAAATGTCAATAGTGCTAAGGCTGAGAAACACTGCTTTAGGCTATACAGAGTCTTCGAAAGTCACTTTTCCTTGATCTCTGCTCTCAGGCAAGTGGTCTGTCCCCAAAATAGTAATACTATTCACTGATGATATCTTTCAAATGAAAAGATCCTTGGTCTCCTAGAATCACATTGTCAGGAAATTCTCCTTCCTGTCTAGCTTCAATCCCCCCTATTTCTAGCTGAAGTGTATTTCCTGTGGTTTAGCCATATTTTTTAAAAAATGGAGAGCTGAGGGGCCTAGAGAATATAGCCTTTTAGTTTTTGGTCAAGTTACTGCCCTGTTTGAACAGATATCCAGCACCCCCGCTCCCCTGATGCCATGACATCTCCTACCCTCTCTCACTGGCTGTTTCTCTGTGTGTGTACGTGTGTGTCTGTGTGTCTCTCTCCATTCTCCAGGTCCCCAGGTCCTGACCTGGCCTTCCTGACTTCCTGTCCTGACAAGAACAAAGTCCATTTCAACCCGACTGGCTCAGCCTTCTGCCCCGTCAGCTTGATGAAGCCCCTTTTCCCCAGCATGGGCTTCATCTTCCGAAACTGCCCCTCAAGCCCAGGCTCTCCCCTTCCTCCCGCCAGCCCCAGGCCACCACCTCGGAAGGATCCAGAGGCCTCCAAGACCTCCCCGCTGCCATTCGAGCCGTGGCAGCGCACCCCACCATCAGAAGAGCCCGTGCTCTTCCAGAGCTCCCTGGTGGTCTGAGGGTACCACCCTCCACACTTAACCATGGAGACCAGTGCCTTGGTGGCAGGCCCCTCCCTAGCTCCCCTGCGATGGGAGATAGAGGAGCCCTTCCCTCTCGGCCTTTGAGCACTTTCAGTTATTGTGTCAAAGCCCCAGGTCCTCTTTTTGATGGGCACCAGCCCCTCGGAATGTGAGGGGACCTGCCTTCTCCACTAGCAGCCGGGCAGCTCACAACTCACACCTGTGTACCTGCCGCTTCCTCACGTGGTGGAAAACTCACCCCCAGAAGGTCCTGAGTCTCCCACCCCTGGGTGTGAATCCAAATGACTATATAGGAGACCCTTGTTTTTGTCACGGAGCAAGCTGTCCGTGACCAAAGGAGAGGAGATGCCACAGATTTCCTTCCCTCTCCTCCTCCACAGTCACAGAAGAGGAGACCAGAAGACAGATCCCCCATCCTCTCAGCCCCATCCCCATCCCTCCCTCTCATTGGAGGAGCTGACCAAAGCAGCCCTGAAGGGCCATCACACTTGACCAATTCAGCTGCTGGCAGAGGAGGGAACCAAGCATTTTCCCAAGTGGCATTTTCATCTCGCTTTCACCCTGACTAAAGATTGTCTTAAGCAGCAGCCCAGCCTGCCCAGCCCCAGGTGGGTAGTGAGGGGAAGAGCTGGCATTCCTCCAGGTGGCAAATGACACCTCTACACCCCCCACCTGCCCCAGGGCTAGGCTGGATTAGAAAAATGCCTATTTTTCTTGTATCGATGTAGAAACTCTATTTTCTCCCAAAGACACTATTTTTGCAGCAGTTTGAAGTTTGTATATTTTCCGTACTGCAGAGCTTACACAAATTGAAGAATGTTAATGTTCGAGTTTTCTTATCTTGTGTTTAGAGGTTGTTTTTTGCAGATCTTGGTGTTAATAGACCAAATAAATAAGTATTCCCAGCAGTGTGAGGTTCTGTTAAATATCTGGGGTAGGAGGAGTGGGGTGGAGATTTGAGGGTATTATATTGATCACTTTATCCTTGTCTTCAAGAGATGGAGCCTTTAGTTAGCATATCTGGTTGTTATATGGATGGACACAGTTCCTGTCCTCTGGACACCATGCTTGAACACTTACATAGGCTTATAAACAGCAGACTCATGAAAAGGCTGTCCAGAATGAAGAGTGTGGTGTGTCCTGGAGGTAGGATGAGGGAGCCACTGGGGAAGTTACCCATTCTTGTGAGTCTGGAAAAGCTCCCTGGGGAGAGTGGATTTCATCTTATTTATTTATATACTTTTGAGACAGGGTCTTACTCTTTTGCCCAGGCTGGAGTGCAGTGGTCCCATCATAGCTCAATGTAACCTCAAACTTCTGTCTCAGCTCAAGTGATCCTCCTGCCTCAACCTCCTGAGTAGCTGGGACTATAGGCATGGACCATGACTCCCCACTAATTTTTAAATTTTTTGTAGAGACAGTTTTGCTATGTTTTCCAGGCCTGTCTTGAACACCTGGCCTTAAAGGAGCCTCTGGGTTGGCCTCCCAAAGTGCTGGGATTATAGGCATGCTCTACAATGCCTGGCCCAGAGTGGATTTCAGAGAGGAAAACAGGGTGACCAAAGGGAGACAGTTTGACATGGTGGGTGGGTGTTCCTTGCTCTGGCAAGGAGAACAAAATCAGCGAATAACATTCAGATTGAACCTCTTTGCACAGTTTTAGGGACGCTTTGGCTCGTTTTGGGTACTCTTCCCATCTCAGAGAGTACCCACAACAGAGGGTGCAGCCTTGGAGGGTACAAAGAAACTGTCCTTGTCCTTTTCCAGCCTCTCAGCTTTATAGTGCTATACCTGTAAGAGCTTTGGGGAAAATGGGAAAAAAACATCCCAACATTCTATTCTGATAGTGCTTTGGAATTTCCAAAGCATTTTCACATTATCCTCATTGTATGGGTGAGAAGTTGGCTACCCTAAGGACAATAATAAGTGCAACTGTATCTAGCTCATAAGACCTCACCACAAACACTGAAAACAGGCTATCCTAACCAACTATTCATTAGTTTGTTAAACACCAGATAGTGCATTAAGTGCTTTACATAAAATGTCATTGAAATATGACGGTCACCCGATGAGAGAAATGTGGTAAGTCCCACTGTATAATGAGGGAAGGACAAAAACGTTGAATAACTTTCCCCAAAAGACATACAAAGTCGGGGAGCCAGGATTGGAAACCTGATCATTTGAATCCAACACCCATGTTTCTGACCACAGTCTCTTGCTTCTTATTGTATTCTCATTAATTTCACAGGAGGAAATCTGACTCAGGGGACAAGGGAATTGTTTGAGGTCTCAGCTGGTGAAGAGACAAAGCTGGGACTGGAACCCAGGTCTCTCACCCCAGCTGCTGTTTAGTGCCCTAGCATAATGGGCTGATTCAGTACAGTAAGCTACTGGGCAAGAGAGCAAATGTGTGGGGATCCCCTTCCCCACTAATATAAAGGAGACAGTGGGCTGGGGACGGACCCTATCTTCTATCCCTTATCTCTCCCCCTGAAAGATGTCTGGCTTGCCCCCAAAGCCTTAGTGAGTCAGGCCCGGAGTGATGGGTGTGGTGCTGCCCAGAGTTTCCTTCCTTTGCCTGAGGCTGTGCCAAAGCAGCAGGCTACTGTAAGAAATCCTCTACTAAGACAGCAGCCCAGAGCCCACCAGGCAGCCTGAGATTTGGGCCAATTAAGTGTGGGGCTGAGGATGGTAGTGGAAAGACCCGGGGCCAGTCTTGCACCAGCAATTTGTGCTAGCAGGTGGAAACCCAACACTTGGATGAATCCAGTGAGGAGCTCATTAACGAGAATGATTCCAAAGAGCAGCCGAAGGCTTGCTCCCATTGTCCATGAGTTGTAAGACCTTGAAGAAAATGCACTTCAATAAATTTCCATTTCCACCTCCAGGATGTGAGGAAATAAGATCAGAGTTGAGAAAGAGTAATGACTAATAATATAATACCTTAAACTTGCACAGCACACTTTACAGTTTACAAAACACTTTTGCAAACCTCAGCTCATTTGCTCCTCAAAACAGTCAAGAGGCGACAAAGTGGCTATTACTAATTATTCCTACTTTAGAGACTGAGAAAACTGTGGCTCAGAACGTAGGTGACACGGGAAGGTTACCCTAGTGCCTTTAAGTGACCTAGCAGAGGCTTACTGTGCTGCTCACCCCACTGAAAGCCTAGTGATGCGCCCACGGAGGAGGACCGCTGTCAAAGTCAGGCCTCCAACGCTCTTCTCTTAGAGCAAGTAGAGTCGCTGACGCCGGGAAGCCTCTAGAGGGCGCCAAGGCTGCAGCGAGAGTTTATCGGCGTTAGGACCCAGCAGAAGCCTGGCCGCCTGCCGGGAAAAAGACTATTTGATTTGCTTTGCCTGTCGCACCGCCTCCTTCCCCGCCCACCTGCCTATCTTCGCACAGCGCAGCCAACTGGTGACCTCCACATTCTTAGACGTCATCACTTTACGCCCGGGCATCTCCTAGGCCACACATCGAGCTCCGGGTCGCAGTTGTCCTCGGAGTTGCCTGACTGGAAAATCTCGACAGCAAGAAAGTAGCCTTAAGACAGCTGGCTCCTCTGACCCCCAAGGATGGAACCAAGGTCGCAACGTGGGTTTTCTTTCCTAGAAGGGTTTCTGGGTTCTGAGGAGTTTCCCCCTCGGCAGCCCTGAGCTGGCAGTTGTGGCAGTGAACTGCTGGGCTTTGCTGAGCGGCGGTCGCAGGCAGCTCCTATGAGGCCCCTGCCGCCGGTCGGCGATGTCCGGCTGGAGCTGTCTCCTCCGCCGCTGCCGCTGCCGCTGCCGGCTGTGAGCGGGTCTCCAGTCAGCTCGTCCGGTCGTCTCATGGCCTCTAGCAGCTCCCTGGTGCCCGACCGGCTGCGCCTGCCACTCTGCTTCCTGGGAGTCTTTGTCTGCTATTTCTACTATGGGATTCTGCAGGAAAAGATGTGAGCAATTCCCCCTCCCCGCCCCCCAATCCAGTCCTCTATCCCCATCCTGTGGTACATTTCTTGGGCCTTCTGCCCCTGGACCTGGGCTTTCCTTTTGTCCTCCCGCCTGGCTCTCTTGCCCTCCCAGCAATCTGCTACCTTTGCCCAGAATTCCAAAATGCCAGAGTTGGTCTCTGGATTCTCGGAACTTGATTATTTTACTTCCTTTAGCTGGGTTTTTATTGTTGTTGTTTTGTCCTATTGGTTGTAAGAGCCTGAATTTTACAGGTTGAGACTTCTACCACCAAACAGCCCTAAGTTGGCTCCTGTTTGGAAGTTCCAGATGCTTGCAGACAGCCTCTTCTTTCGCCCTCAGCCTCGCTGCTGTAACCCAAATACCTTCTTCTCCTCCTGCCTGGGGTACCTCATTTCACCAACTACTTTTTTATGTTTCCTCTGGCACCATCCTTTATGGATATTCTCTTCCTAGGCTGTGGGATTAGTAGGCTGGGATGTCTAGTTTCTAGATCCAATAAAATCAGCCCCTCTTTTAGATGAGCCTAACCTAACGGTCCTTACAAACTCTCCCTACATCCAAAGAGGCAAGATAATTTCCAAGCTTTCAGTGGCTGTGGACATACTAGATAACAGTGAGTGAAATATACTAATTTCTCTTCTCTGTTTCTCATGCATTTCATTCTTAGAACAAGAGGAAAATATGGAGAGGGAGCCAAGCAGGAGACTTTCACCTTTGCCTTAACTTTGGTCTTCATCCAATGTGTGATCAATGCTGTGTTTGCCAAGATCTGTGAGTACCTAGATACTAACTTGTTGTATATAAAACCCCTCTGTATCCTGGGTGTTAGTCATTGATTAAAGCTTAAGTTCTAACTTACAGTTTCCACCCCTTTTAGTACTCACACAGCCTCTCTGTGCAGTCTATAAAACTAATGACTTTGAAATGGGGCAAAGTAATATTTCTTTAAATTATACCAACTTCTGAATCAGAAATGTGCAGAGAATGGGTCTTTGTGTTCCAAATCCCTATTGAGAATACTTAAAACGTTTTTTTCTTTCCCTTTGACGTTCCTTTATGTGTCAGCTTCAAGCATGCTTTGAGCTTTCTCTCTTTGTTCCCTGGGCACTAGCAGCAGGGCTAACTTGTCCCTTGAACTGATTGAGACCCCACCTCCACCCTGCATGTGGTCTTGTGTTAGGCTTAGGGGCAATTGGAGAGTTGAATAATTTTCAGAGATTTCCCATCTAAGAAGACAGAAATAGCTTGTGTCTTATTTGATAGACAAGTTCCTTTCATGTGGCCTCATCTTGGCTTTGTGGTCCATCCTAGCCCCACCAGGTTTCTCTTGTATGTTTTTTTGTCTTCTCCCAGTGATCCAGTTTTTTGACACTGCCAGGGTGGATCGTACTCGGAGCTGGCTCTATGCTGCCTGTTCTGTCTCTTATCTGGGTGCCATGGTCTCCAGCAACTCAGCACTACAGTTTGTCAACTACCCAACTCAGGTGAAACCTTAGGGTGGGATGAGGGTTGGCTCAGAAATTATTTGAAAAGGACTAAGGGTTTTTTCCTCAGGTCTGTGACTCCCAGGAGAGTGTGTTTGAGAAATTCAGAGTGTTTAGAACCATAGACCTGGGGTTTAGTGGTGGTGGGTTGGCCCATGATAGGGTGCTTTCTGAGGCTGAGGTCCCTGGTGCAGACCCTACTCATCTTAATTGACACAGTAGTTTGCATTGTACCTGGCACATCACAGATGTTCAGAAATATTTGCCAAATTTAATTTCAGGTCCTTGGTAAATCCTGCAAGCCAATCCCAGGTAAGTAAAGAAGATGGTCTTCCTCTTCTGTCCTCACTTTTCCTGTGGTAAGCACTCTCTTCTGCTAGAGCTTTATGTCCCTCTGGGCTTCATCATCCCATCATAGCTATCTCCAGGGACTTTTATTTCAGCCCTTGCCCATGTCTGTCCCGTCATCTTTGTC